GTCCCTGTGGAAGGAGGCGAGGGGACACCCTGGCCAGCAGGTCAGATGTGGTCTTCATCCTTGAAAAGCTTAGTGTCTGTGGGGGGGATCCACACACGCACAGAAAGACTGACACACAATTGCTCAATGCACCCGTGTAACATACACTGAACCAGCTTAGTAAGGAAAAGACTGAGGTGGTGGCCATCATTCTGACCCCCCACAGCCTCTCTGATCCTAGTCCCTTTCATTCTAGAGCGCCCTTGGGTTAGGTCTTGGTCTGCTAGACAATCAAGTTCATTGTTCTCTTACCAAAATGCCACCCCGACCAGTGGGCAGCTGAACTTAAGATTGTTCATGTGAATTTGCAAGGAAACCAAATAAAACACAGACACAATTTACCTTTACACAAGCTTCAGGACGGCTTCCCCGCTCTCAGCCTCAGGATCCCCAAAAGGGAGAGCGAGAGAAAGTCACGAGAGGCTGGTGAGAGAGCACATTGGGAAGTGCTCTTTTATTGGGGGGACTCCTGTTCTTAGAAAGTTCTACTCAAAAAAGGGCAGAAGGGGCAGGACTACAAGGGACAGGTGAGTGTAACTCAGCCCTAGGGGCATGCCCCACAAAGAAGACCCTTGCTATCCGAGCTAGACCCCACCTAAGCCACAGTGAATGCAGTGGTTGGTCAGAATCTGAGGTGCCAGGACTGGAAGGTGATCTCATTCACTGTTGTTCCCCACACCAGTTACCCAAAGTTAGTAATGCTATAGATCACAGCAAAAACCAGGTGTGCGCACTAGCGTCTTGAAATCTGCCAAACTCCACACCTAGGGCCTGAAGCCACGCCTGGGGGAAGGTATGACTCAGGTCCACCCCTGCCTATTCAAGACTGGTCCTGCCCGTCAAGACTGAGACCACCGACACCACCGTGCCATGGGCAGCCTGTCTCCTCATGGCTCTGCTGCACACATTGTGACAGGTTTCCCCACAGCCACAGCTGGTGAGGCTGGCTTCCCATGGGCACCATGGGGGCAGTGCTCATAGAAATGTCTGAAGGCTCAAGCGCCACCCTCCCTGGCCTGGGCCTGTCAAGAGTGGCTCTAGCACAACGAACCACTCCCACGCCCACAAAGCCACCACTGCCTTGAAGCTGGACGCAAGGCTGAGACCAGCAACATTTCTCAGTCTACTCTCCTCCAAGGTCAGAAGTAAAAAGAAGAGATGTACAGCAGGTACACCTGTAGGAACTTGATGACAGACGTCACCTCTCCAGCCCAAGGAGGACTTCCCATAGCTGTGGCTGCAGGACAGGCCACAGAGCCCCACTTCCACTACGGGCCGTGCCTTCCGCAAGTCACACTCCCACCGGCACACGGCTTCTCTGTTACTGGGACAGGTGGTCAAGTGCTGGGTGCAGATTCAGCCCTTTCCCGCCAGCCAGAGCCAATGGCCCTCTCTCCAGACTCCACATGTCCACAGCTCTGGCCCAGGTAAGGGCCCCTCAAAAAGTGAAACTTCAGTAATTTTCATGATAGCTTTTCTAATAATTTCTCAAGTGAAAAGTCTACAAATGAAGCTCTCTTCAAAAAAGCCACCTAATGCCTGTGAATGTTATCCCACTCCTGCACAAAGCCAGCTGTACAAGGGACAGCAAGACAATATGCTGGAAACCCCAGAGGGACAGACCTTGTGTGAAAACCCATAGGAACACAACCAGGGACAGGCTGAGGCAGAGGAAGAAGGGGAAAAGCAAAGTGTGTCCCTGGCAGGAGGATCCTTCTGGAAGCTGACCCAGCATAGCCCCAGCAGTCATTGCCGACAGCCACACCCAGCACGCTCTGCCTCGAGGCCCACCAGGCTCAGCTCAGGGCCTTCCTGAGGAAGCACAAGGCTATCCTGGCCAGGGAGGAGGAGCTGCAGGTCCTCACACAGAGCCTTCCAGACACTGATCAGCCCACGAATCTCTGAAAGCACAACAGCAATGCACACTCCTGACGATTTGGAGAATAAAAGTGTGCAAGGAAGAAATTCAAGCTGGGTGCCATCTCTCAGGGGCAGCTGTGAGCTAGTTGGCATTTCCGCGTGCTTCTCTCTTGTCCACCATCTCCAACACAGTGGGTCGTCACTGTCAGCACTCACGCACCCTAAACACCGCAATGGGAGACTCCTTAGTGCAAGAGACTAAGACTGAAAAGCAGGATTGGTGTTCTTCCCCTGGAACAACTGTGACAAGTCAGGCCTTCTCAGTGGCTGGTCACAAGACAGCAGCCTCACACACAGCTGTCAGTCAGACTGTAGGCACCCAAGCCTGACTGACTCGGCAGACACAGCTGCCCCGTCAACAACACGCCACCAAGAGAGCTTCAGGTCCCTGAGCTACTTGATGCAAAAGCTGCAAGGGCAACAGTCACCAGAGATGCAGGGACTTCGACGACTCAGAGATGAGACATTTCAGAGGACAGTGAGAAACAGCATTAAGCTGGCAGAGGTGAGCAGGCACCCAGCGAAGCCAGACAGGGAGGGAAGGTAGGCGTTGTGTGGGTTGCATTTACCTACAGTGGCCTCATGCCAGGGTGCTACGGCCTCCAGGTCAGCATAAGGCAGAGCCCTTGACGCACAGGGACTCCTGATGCTGGGAACCCCAAATCAGGAGTTTTGGGAATTCTGGCAGGTTCCATTGGGATTCAGATCCCAAGTTCCAGCTCCAAGTTCTCCTAGGAAACTGGAACCAGGCCACCTCTCCCAGGTTATGACCTCCTTGGATCTGGATAGGCAGGTGTGGTGGTGGCCTGGAAGGCTGCCACTCTCTGAAGGGACTCTCAGTGCCAGGCTGATAGCGGAGTGGAAGCAGGAGTGTGTGTCTGCAACTATAAACCTAGGTCAGAGCTGCATGCCCTCACAAAACTCCAGACAACCCCCTGCCCTATTCTTCCAGGTGTTCATCACTCTCACTGTGTAAAAAAAGGGAGGACTTTGAAGCAAGGACTGTGCATACTGAAGGATCAGGAGGCAGGAGTCAACTCCTGCAGGTCAGCCCTGGGAGCCCTGCCAGGCATTGCCTGAAGTCTGCCCAACTGGCTAATGTCCCATACTGCCATGGCTGGGCTTGGGCCACCACCTCCACCACGTGTGGGCTGCTGTGTCACACCGCAGCCACTCTCAGCCTGCTCCACCATCCTGCCCCGTGCTACAGGGCTGTGCACATACTGCACCCCGACTGTCTGTCTACTAGTGGTGGGCAGCATCCCAAACCCCCAATTCCTACTGCTCTCCTGCAGAGCAGTGCAGTGACGTGCAGGGGTGCCGTGGACATGCCTGGACGCTGTCCTCCACGTGGGCAGACTCAAGGCAGGCCTGAAAGGGAGAGGGTGAGGGTGCCCTTGTGGCATGCACAGGGACTGTATAGAGCCTCTGCTGCTTCCAATTGTGCAGACTTTACATGAGGCCACATGGAGCTCAGGGCTTAAGGGCAGGCCACACACAGGGTGCCTGTCAGAGACACTGGGGACAGCTGCCTTCTGATGCTGACACCAGGAGCTGACGCAGGACCTAAAGCAAAATGCAGCTCTGCCATGTGAGATCTGACTGCAGCACTCACAAATCTTGATTTGATCACTTAAGGAAATTACTTGATTCTTGAATCTCAGAGGTTTTCTGGGGACATGTGCACAAAGTTCAGGGAAGTGACTGATTTTTATAGCCTGCGAATGTGGAGTTAGCACAGTGAAATGGCACATCAGTAGTCCAGAGCTGAGAGGAAGGTGCGAGAGGGCGGTGCCAGCGCACGGCCAGAGCTGGCTCAGATAAACAGCAGTGTGCGTTTCAGAACCCGGCCGGCTGACCCAGTGTCACTTCCCAGGTGTACTCAGCACACAGGCCTGCAGGAGGCACTGGGCAGGCCAACTCCTCTCTGCTGCACGTCCTCAGGCCCCCTCAGCCTTGGAACAGATTAACTACCCCAAGACTTGGCACAGAGACCAGGGCCAAAACACTCAAATGACCACTGAATCAATAATCTCCAAATAATTAAAAAGACGAAGACAATCAGCAAGAAACAGAAGAAAGCAATGTAGGACTGGAGTACAGCCCAGTGGTGAGGCACTGGCCTCGAATGCATACGGTCCTGGGTTCCATCCCCAGCACCAGGAAATAAGGAAAGGAAAAAGAGAGGAGGAAGACCGGCTAGCTATTTTGTGCTGTGCTGTGCTGTGCGATGACGCAGCTGGCTCCCTGCGCCATCAGGCTTCTGGTGCACAGGCTCAACCAACTTCAGTTTGAAAATATTCAGGGGAAAACAACATTGTGTCTGCACTGAAAACTGCAAACCTTTTTCTCCTCATTACTTCCTGTACAATACAGTGTAACAACTGCTGACCCAGCACCTGAGTTGTTAGGTTTCCTAAGTCCTCTGCAGATGGTCATAAAGTCTGCAGGAGGGACTTGAGCATGCTTGGGTTCACCAGAACTGCCAGGGTCCTGAGCCCCATACTCTGCAGGTATGCTGCAGGATGACCATCCATACTACCTTACACCATGTCTTGTTAAAGAAAGCAACCATGGCAGACAACCTACCTCCCACTCTCAACAGAACTGTATGTCCACCCAATCCTGGCTATCAGTGCCAACAGTCTCATGACACCATCCACAGGGCAGGTAACACTATGTCCACCCAGCACCTGCATCTGCTTCTCTTAGCAGAGCTCTGACTGGGGCAGCGCTGTGCCCGACTGCAGGCCCCATTTTCTGGCTTGTGCTCTAGGTGGGAGACCATGGAACACTGCTCTAGTCAATTAAGGGGCACCGTAGTCACAGTGTGGCTTCTGGGAGGGACTTCAGAAGGGTAGGACAAGTTGCTGTTTTCTGTCCCTGCTGGAATGCTGAGCTGGTACAGGGCACAGTACCCGTCCTGCCCCTCGTCAAGGCACCTCTCTCAGGGCAACACACCCCGGGTTGGACATGAGGACAGTGGTTGGGGGCTGGGCCTTGCAGCTGGATGCAGGTCAGAACGCACAGTGAGTACTCACAGTCTGCTGTGTACTCCACCTGGGAGGGCTGCACAGGCGCCCCGTCTGCAGCTGGGGTTGGGGCAGAGCTGTCAGCCTGTGCTTTTCGGACCAGGGCTGCCAGGGGGTGATCCGGGTCCACCACCTTCAAGGGCTAAGGACAGAGAAGACACGGTTTTAGCATTTTCTGTGTTCTGAGCCACAACAAACTATCCCATTAAAAAAAGGTTCAGCTCCACTTTTGTGTACACCTTAGAGCAACCTCAATGCATGTGCATGCATTTGGATAGGCACACACACAGAGAATGCTAACAATGCCCAGGGGAGGTCATACCAGGCCCCAAGTGATGCATAAAGGACAGGAGTGGTGGCACAGGCCTCCAGAACCATAGCTCTGCAGAAGCTTCTGTGGGAGGTGGGCCTGGCAGCTGCCTGTCTCTCTGGTGCTGGCACCCTCTTCGTGATCCTTGCAACCAGGTGCTATATGGCTCTGAAAACCCTGTCTTCCTTTGACCTCCTGAATGTGCAGCCACCTGTCAGAGCCCACAGACTCCAGGCAATCTTCTGCTGGGTCCTGAACCCCTCCCTGGGCACACATACAGGAGGTCCTGGTGAATTGTGGCCTTGTGCTCCAGCTAGTTGTGAGTCCCAGAGGAACTGAGAGAGCACGTGGCCTCTCTCCATAATGCCCACTAAGCAAAGGAGGGTGTGTCAGGACTGGACTGCTACTCCTGGAAGTGTGAGAAGCTCATAAAAAACTTGAAACTGTCCTTCCTCAGATAAATTTCTGATTTTAAATCAACGGTTTTTAATCACCCAATCAAGAATGATTCCCTCCAGGGATTGGCCACACAACACAATTGCTGAAAATCATATTCCTAATCTCAGACTTCTGTGTCCTTACACCTTATATGGAAGACAGGTGCATGAATGAACCCTAAGACAGTGCTGGTGGCTTTTTTGTAAGGATGAAGGAAGATTAGCTACAGAAACATTTACTGAGAAACCATCTATGAAGGTAACTAAGGACTTCAAGAAGCAGATCTGCAGAACACCCATAAAATCCAATCCTGTAATGGAACCTACACTACTGCTTAGTCTTCTTCAACATTCTTCTTATCCCAGGGGACAAAAATACAAAAAACCAAAAATAATTTGCTTATGAAATAGACATGCAGAAAGCTTTGTCACCCAACTGAATACAACATCACTCAGGGGCAACCAAGGAAGACACAGATGTAACACACTAGAAGTGACACACTTGATACTTTCCAAACTAAACCAGCATCAATTTTATAGCTCAATAACAAGAGAGAGACCTTCATCAGCTCTTCCAGGCGGCTGCTCTTCTTGGAGGCGAAGAGAGACGGGTGTAGGTAGCTCCCATCTTCCTCATCATCCTCATCTTCATTGTCAGAGTTTGTGCCTGACTCTGAAATCAAAATCAAGATTCTGGTGTAACCGTCTACATGCATCACGTTATCATAGTTCACTGCACAAATAAGTACAGCTAGAATGACAACAAAGACTCTGGCGTGTGGTAGGAAAAATGTACCAAAAAATCCTCCAAGAACTCAGCAGCAGACAAGGGCATAGCTACATCTGGCCATTTTTGGGTTATCAGTCTACCAATACCTGTGGAGAATACTCCCTATGGACACCCAAGTTGGTCAGAGGAAGCCAGACAGGAAGTAGAAAGTAGGACCCTTGGCCATTTCATGTCTCCCTCTAGCATTTACTAGTCTGGGAGCAATGAAAGAGCTTTTATCATTGAGGGAAAAAAGGGGGCAAAATCTTACTATAAAGGGGAAGTAAAATAACACCAATTTAAAAAAAAAAGACAACAAAATTGGAGGTGAAATCTGTATTAAGATTTACACAATGGTGTGGGCATGGCTCGGGGTGGAGCACCTGCCTAGCACACACAAGGCCTGGGCTCAGTCCTCCCAGCACTGGGGGTTGGGGGGAAGAAGACTTGTGCTAACTGATGAGAAACATCTGATTACCAGATTCAATGGAAGACGCAGACTGACCCCTGGATTTTACTCCAAATAGAGGCAAGTGGCCTTATAAGAATTCAAAACAGAGACACCTACAAATATAAAAGCTTCAGACATACATTTCAAGTAAGAACCGTTCATTTTTTGTAGTGCACAACTTAACTTCACTCTCTGAACAGAGGTGCAGACTCATACCAGGAAAATGATTTAATGGAAGCATGGAACGACCCTTCTCTCTACAGAATGCTGAGCAAAAGGAGAGGGAAGGCTCCAGCCCAGGTGGCCACCTTCAGATCCTACCAGCATTTAATTGCATGTCACCATGTGTAGGACAGCAGCTGGGAGCTTCATGTCGTATGCCAGCAGGAGTTCATGAAAAACACAGGGACCCCAAAGCCTGGCCCTCCACTGGCACCCCACACCCAGGTCCAACAGGACACAGCCAGGGTCACGTACTCTTTTTCTCTTCAGTCTTGTTCTCTGCCAGCACTGTGTACCGCCCCTCCTTCATAGCTTTCTGGATGAATTTGTAGTAGGGGTTGAGGTAGTGATCAAAGCGCAGGAAATCAAACTGCGAGTTCCGTGCCTGCTTGGCTTTCAGCATTATTTCAAACTGTGCTCCCTGCTTGCACACAAAGTTGGCTGTACGCTCGATGATGGCATGCATCTTGGCTGTTGGTGGCTAAGAGAAAACACACACGTTCAAGTCATTCATCTGTCGTCATTTCCCCTAACCACACAGTTGGTTGCACACTGGTTTTACTGTTTATCTCAAGAAACCCTTCAATTGGGAGCCCAGGCTGGTGCTGTCCCAGGGACATAATACCCTATCTCTGGATCTCACTGGTGTTGGTGGGAAGAGAACACACCTGCCGAGGCACACCAAAGCCTTTGGACAGAACCCAGGGGAGCGAATCTTCTTATGCACCAAACTAATACCTTTCCATACAACCAGGGTTCCATGGTGGGCTCCAGGGACTGGTGAATCTTCTGAAGGGGTATGCAAATTTTGCACACATGCATTCTTCTAGGGGAGAAGCATGTACTTCCATGTTTCCCAAGGACCTAAGAATCCCTCTGCTTCCTGTCTTGCTAGGACTAGGCTTTAGAGCCTGGAGGCTCCCTGCTGCCAAACAGTCCTCCAACACCTGAACACGCAAGTGCAAGCTCATACGAGGAGCTCCCGCCAAGTCTCTTCAGTGCCCCACCACCTCTGCTCTTCTCAGGTCCTGGCAAAGGCTCCAGCAGGATGCCACCCCCACCTGAAGCATGGTGTCCTATCCTTAAGGCAGCCAGGTCACCCTGCAGGAGAGTCCTTGATGGTTTGCTATCAGTTCACGACTGGCACTCATAGCCCGCCTCCTCCCTCCCCAGGGCCACCGAGTCACTCCACCACACAGTGCACTTGCCACTCTGGCCCACACACAACCTGTCAGACCGAGAGCTGGGAGCCACACACCCAAAATGCCTTCAGTATCTCAAGAGAGATCTGCACTGGAAAGGTGCATGGAAATCCCATGCATATAAAACTGGAAATTTTTCTCATTAAGAATGAGTGGTTGGGCTGGGGATGTGGCTCAAGTGGTAGCGCGCTCACCTGGCATGCGTGGGGCACTGGGTTCGATCCTCAGCACCACATAAAAATAAAATAAAGAAGTTGTTTCCACCGAAAACTAAAAAATAAATATTAAAAAAATTCTCTTTCTCTCTTTAAAAAAGAAAAGAATGAGTGGTTAATGGGCTGGGGAGATAGTCAGTGATAAAGCACTTGCCTAGTATGCATGAGGCCCTCCCTGCGTTCAATCCCTATCATCACATAAAAAATAAACAACAACAAAGGATTAATAAATAAACAAACAACAATAAAAAAAGAGTGCTCAGGAATCCATGTAGTTTAGGGGCTTCATCCTTCATAAAATTTAAAGGGCTTAATTCTCAAATTTAATTTTCTGAATTAATAACGTCCTTCACACTTCAGGATAAATGCCCCATGATTAAAGTTGTATTTAGATTCCCCAATAAATTAGATTCCATGTTAAAAGCCCACTGTGGGCTGAAATATGAACCCTGATGCAGGTTTTTCATTGGCTTTGGTTAAATACAATTTTTTTTTTGGTACCAGAGATTTAACTCAGGGCTCAACCACCGTGCCACATCTCCAGCCCTACTTTGTATTTTATTTAGAGACAGGGTCTCACTGAGTTGCTTAGGGCCTAAGATGCTGAGGCTGGCTTTGAACTTTCGATCCTCCTACCTCAGCCTCCTGAGCTGCTGGAATTACAGGTGTGCCATGAGCTATTGAGCCTGGTTTACAATTAATTTTTAAAATGGTACAATCTATAAACTAGTTAATTAGCGATCACTTAAGAACAATGACCTTTAAAGGAAAATATGATGCCATCTAGAGCAGGCTCTACTGACCAAACAGATGTGCTAGTCTAAACTGTGGTAAAGGTAGGCCTGTTAATGACACAGTAACATGACCACATTGGTCAAAATGCAAAGGGTAGGTGATGCCCTAAGAGCAGGGCATCTCATGAGCATAGGTTAAGCTATGTTCCCAGAGAAAGTAGACAGGGGATAAAGAGTCATTCTTTGCCATCGTTATCATGCAGATTTTAGATAACTCCTTTTCCATTTCAGATGGTGATCACTCTTACTGTCCAATGGTACCTTAAACACAGCTGACAGAGGCTAGGGATGCAGATCAATGGCAGAGTATGTGCTTAGCATGCCTAGTGCCTGGGTTTGATTCCCCAGGACAAAACCCACAAAAACTAACAGTTCATGTGTAAATGTGTGTCCCAGAGATGACCTGATAAAAGGGGTGTCCTTCCCTTCTGAACCCCAGGGGAACCCTCTGTTGAGAAAGCCTGGAGCTGAGAGGAGCTGAGAGGAAAGCTGTGGTCGCCTGCTCTCTCCTCTGACACATTGGTAAAAATTCAGAGGCAGAGCCAGTCCTGGGAGCAGGATGGGGGCATTTAAGGTCAGGAAACCCTCAGTCATGGGCAACTATGGACTATGTGGCAGGAGAAGAGAAGGGATGGGGAGCTAGGTGGGGATCAAGCGAAGAACCTCAGGGGCAGCTGCCAGGCTGCCTTTTCCACTGGGGATGGGAAAAAAAACCCCAAAATACTTGCTTTGCCTTCAGGCCCCAAAAAATCCCAGATCCAGTCACAATTCAAATGTAAAACTACAAAATAGCAGGAAATACAGGAAAATATTTTCAGTGGGAAAGCATTCAAAGCAAGCCTCAAAACCCTGCAGCCATAAAGAGGGACCACGCCATCAGCAGCACAGACTGAGAGGAAAGAGCCACACAGTGTCCAAGACAAGGCACTGCGGAGAGACCTGCGAGGCAGTCAAACAAGAGCCCCGTCCACCCACACAGCAGCCATCACACATCAAAAGAGAAGGACCTAGCTCCACAGAAACACACTAGCCTCTGCCCCCCGCCCATCTCCCACTTTCCACACCGCAGCCAAACAGGGAAGCAGAACTCTGCCTGCTGGAACCCCAAGTCTGACTGGCAGGGCTGAGGGCAGTTTCTACCCGCCTCGAGTTACACCTCTATGCTCCTCATCTGGAAAATGGGCAACAGCTGTATCTACTGTGGACCAAGACTTCGAGCAGCAACTCGGAAGCACTCTGCACAGGGCCTGGTATGAAGCATGAACAATGAGGCTTGCTGCGAGCTACCTTTCCCTGAGCTGCCTCGAATGTACCCATCTAAATCAAGTCCCCCACCCCTGCCCTGCTCTTGAGACCCAGTCCCCTAGAAGCACACTTGAACACACTGTTGACCACAAAGATCTCTGGGTCCCATGACTGAACAGTGGCTTAGGAGCTCCGGCTCTGTGCCATCTGCAGTGTCTCAGAAGAGTGAGGAGATAGGTGGGCAGGGATGGGCCAAGTGACAGGCTCTCCCCCCAGCCAGCTGCACAGCACACAGCCCTGCAGAGCAGGTCCAGAGGGCTGGCCTGAATGCAGGGAACTTGGGACAGATGGGTGTCTAGGTCCCTGGGAAAAGACAGTGACTGACTATGCCATGTCAAGACACCGTTGCCTAGTTACACATTTGGAGGAAATGTAAGTCCCACTTCCCACAACAGACACACACACACACATGGAGTCATTATAAAAGGCTAAAATAAAGGCATCAGATCACTTGAGGGGACTTCAGTCTACAGGCTCAGCTGTCAAGGGCCAAGGGCTATGTGGGATCCCTCCTGGTGGCACAGGAGCTTATTAAGCAGGAGGCAAGCAGAGCCACCAGGTGCTGTGACATCATCAGGTTTTTAAGAGCAAGAACCCCCCAAAGTGCTTGCTTTCTCTGCCAACTGCCTGACCTCCCTGCCAACAAGTCACACCCACCCAGTGGCCCCCTGAATCCAGGCCAGCCTTTCCACACACAGCCAGCCAGCATCCTGCCAGCTCAGCCCCGCATACCCTCCACGACACGGCCACCACAGGCCAGCACGGCCTCCCACACGGCCTCCATGACACGGCAACCACGGGCTCTCACGCCCTCCATGACATGGCCACCACAGCCCCACACGGCTCCACGATGCGGCCACCACGCCCCACATGGCCTCCACGACATGGCCACCACAGCCTCCCACATGGCCTTCGTGACACAGCCACCACAGGCCAGCATGGCCTTCCACGCCATGTTTCCTACCAACATTGACACCCCAGAGCAGTTTATACAACAAGCCTATGTCAGAAACCACAATGACTGAAGAACAAGGCACTGCCACAGAGGAAACGGAAGACGCCAAGCCGAGACTCAACCAAGCACCCACATGGCAAAACCCTGCACTCCAGGGGCCTCCAAGAGGACGCTGGAGGAAACTAACCCTCGAGAGCCTGTGCTTCTCGCGGAGGCCATTCCTGCTTTCCTCTGGGTGGCAAGTGTTTTGGTTCTGGAGGATTCCAACAGCCATTAAATATTCTAATAGAAATTAAAGCAAGAAATTTCTGTCATACTTCTAAGTTTATATTTACATAGAAACTTTAAAAATCATATAAAAATAAGTGATATTCCCTAGAGTCAGCCTCAAGCAAATGCTTTTAGTATGAATTGTAGCTAACACAGCAAATGTGATATTCAAGGGTTAATTCTGGTGGGTCTCTCCTGCAGAATGATCACTCAGGAACCCAGGACATGCCAACACGGCCAGTGCCTGCTGATGGGAGTCTGGGGACATTAGTCATCAGTCTGCACGTGATATTTCAGCTCTGACCACAGCACAACAGTCACAAGCTGGAAACAGGAGCAAACCTGAGCAGCACTGACCAGAGGCAAAACCCAGAGACACAGCCCATGTTGGGAAGAGCTGGAGACATGAGCAAATCCCTGAGAGGCACTGGGCCTGAGCGGGAACTGAGGGCGATCATCTCCTTTGGTCACAGAATAGGGGGTAGGAAAAAAACACAAGAACTGTCACATTGCTGTGAACTACAGAGGCAGTGCAGCAACACATGCAGAGATTAAGAGACATCATCTTCTGCCAGACACAGATAAGGCCTGGAGGGCCCGCAGTGCAGCACCTGCAGCCCAGCTGCGGAGGGCAAGGGCAAGGCAAGGGAAAGCTCTTGGTTGTGCATGAGCACTTGGGAAACTTTCCACATTCAAACACCTCTAATACAATAAGGAGACTTGCAGGCTCCTGCCTGCTGCATGAGCCAGAGTTCTTGACTTTCCTAAGTCTGTTTCTCATCTGCAAGGAGGAGAGTAACAACGCTATCTCAGAGGGCTATCAGCATCAAATGAGAAGACCCACAAGCAGCAGCTTGGCACAGCGCTGGAATACAGAGATCCCTCAAGTAGTAGCCTTGGCTTGGCTTTAAGGCCACTGTAACTGGACCTGAGTTCAACAAGGTGCAACTGAAGCCTCGGGCTGAGACAAGGGCCATCCTGGGGACTCCACCCAACAGCAACCAGCTACAGAGGACTTGCAGTGCAGGGCTACTCATGATGGAGGTGAGTACCCAGAACATGTAGAGCCAAGGCCAGGAGCCCACAAAAACCACATCAGGAAAAGTTGGAAGGACGCATAGCACCGAGCAACGCTGCCCTGAGCATGCAACCTCCACCAGTGTGTGCTCGTCACACTCTCTGCCAACTCTGACATGCTGGCCACGCTGTCCAGATCACGGGACTCAACCACACAGCCCCTGGGGTCCACACAACGTGCTGACAAGCTACCCTAGTTATTTTGCTACAATCCCTTCATCGTTCTTTCAAATGAAAGCAAGCAGGAAGTGGCCTTTTCCCCCATTAACTCACAAATGACTGCAACCTGGTTCACCTAAATGGCAGCTGCACCGTCACTGTGCCCTCACACACAGCACTGAAGAACAACAAGTGGCCACCCACTGCAGGGGCTTGCAGAAGCATACGTACCAATTCCACATCAGATGGAACGTTCAGTCCTAGAGGGGCGATGAAAGGCTCTTCATTTTCCTCCAAATTTTCAGACTCACTTTTTTCTATTAAAAAAGAAAATTGAGACCTTCAGAACAATAACCAGAGAAGAAGGCTCCTGCCAACAGCATACAGCACCCAGGGAAGAGCAGTGATGGGCTCTTCCTTTCTGTGGCTCCTTCTGAAACACTGTGGAGAGGATCCCACCATGTTGAAGCAGACTCACATAATGAGTTCCCAAGAGGCTGGTGGTGCAGATGATACTGCCAGCCTCAGTCCCAACCCTGCCATTTCCTGGCTCTGGTTTCCAAGGGCCATGTGAAGTGTGAGCCAACCCATATGACCTCAGCCAGAGCAGAACACTGGACTCCGAGCAGGCTCTTGGCCAAAGTCCTTGCTCTGTGCTGCCCAGCCTCCCTGCCACACACATTTGCACTGAACTGGCACTGTTCCTGCAGACTCTGGGGCACTAGGTATAAGACAAGGTAACACCCCCCGGACAACTCAACCTTGATCATCCGATTGCAAAAACCTAAACAACAACATCATGACTTCTCCACCCAAGCAAACTACTGCTTTCCCACAGTCGGATGTATCACTTCAATTCTACTCATTATTAATATCCATATCTGCCTACTATGTGTTAGATAAGGTGCCTTACAATTAAAACTTCTTGAATTCTAAGATATTCCAATTTACCAACAATTCAGATGACTATCAACCTAAGGGACATAGTGAAATGCACAAAAATCAGCACAAAATTAGAAAAAAAAAAAAAAAACCAAAACATTTTAATGAATTTCAACTTTTACTCAGGTTTTTATTCCCAAAAAAGTGATAAAAGAACCAAACACTAAATCCTCATCTAAATAAACATTCTCATGACACACAACGCAGCCTCTTAAGTCAACAATCTGCCAACATCTCTTCAAGTCTAATTCCTCAGTGAACCTAGGGGAGCTGTGAGCAGGCATCCCTGTAGGTGAACACTCGGGGTTCTCACCTGAGATGCAAGTCAACTGTAACAGAGGATGAACTGTGCTCCACCTGTTTCTGCACACACTAAGGACAGGGTGAGTGGAGGGCAGAGCTACTACTGCCTAAACCCCCATGTCTGGCAAGGCCACTGTCTAGCTCCAGCAGCCAAACAACAGAGTGGAGTTGCAGGCAGCAGAAACCAAGGTCTGTGAGATCTTCCACTGGGAAGAAAAAGCCAAGTGACAACTGAGCTAAGCTTCCTCAGAACCTTTCTGAGAAGGAGGCCAGGTGTATGTGTTTAAAACAATTCTTACTGCATTTTTCAAAAGTAAAAAAAGCAATTAAAATTCTGTCTTTTCAAATAGCTTTTTTGTAACCTTAAGACATGTGGAAAAGTCAAGGCCTTCTAGTTGAAGGCCTTCCCTGGGATAGACAGGTCAAATGGGACATTCTGTTCTCATACAGGCCTTTACTTTCAGTGACACAAAGTAAAAATCTACCATTGCAACACAGACTCACATATTCCAATAGCCTTTTCTTATCAGAACATGCACATGCAGATCTGGGATGTGGCAGAGGGCTGGAGCACGCACCTAGCACGCGCATGGCCCTGGGTTCAAGCCCCAGAACTGGAAAAAATACTTAAAAACAAAGGATCTTTAACGATAATAAACTGTGACCAGGATGAAAAATACTGTGCTAATGAGAGAGAGGAGAGGTGAGGTCAGGCAAAACAGAGGCGTCAAAGCGCCTTTGGCTGACACCACAGGGTTACAGATACTAAAAGGTGTTAAAGTAAGTTATTTTAAAAACCAAGGACTATTTAGAGATTCTGCTGACATGGAAAAATCTGATTTTATCTTCTACTTTAGATGCAGTGGCCCCTGTCTATGATCCCCAGCCACTCAGGAGGCAAACCAGATTACAAGTGTAAGGCCACCCTAGGAAGCTTAGTAAGGCCTGCCTCAAAACAAAAAATAAAAAGGGATGGGAATACAGCTTATTGGTGAGTGCCCCTAAGTTCAGTCCCCCATACTGGAAAAAGAAACAACATTCAACTTGGTTGCTAGTGGTACTGGGCACCAAAATTAATCCCATTTGAGGGTGTTTGTGTGTGTTGGGGGTGGTGTTTTATTTATATTAGTGCAAATTAAACATAAAATGCCAAGCTCTAAGTTTCCCAGGAGCCCAATAACCATTTATAAAGAGTATTTTATATTAACAGAAGACAAAGTGAAGAAATACACTGTTTGCAAAATTTAGAAAGTGTAACAGTCTATTATCTCTCAGCCCAATAATTACATTGAAACAATGGCCCAACTTCTAGAACAGGAGGACAACTGTGAAATGGCTCTGTGGGCCCAGGGTCTATCTCAGCCTCATGCCTGCCAAAGCCCCATCTGGCAGCAGACAGAACAAAAGAGCTCAGCTGTTCTAATGAAATCCTACAGACACAAACCCGGGAACTGGGCCTGCAGTCATGGCTGCCTGTGCCTGATCTAGAATATTAGGAAGTTAATGTAAGGGACTCTTCTAAAGATTATTGCCATAAAAGACATGAGGCCTTTACACATTTTAACTCTTCAGTTGTGAAATGTTGGTATTCTTGCCTTCTGGTAAAAACCTTATGCGTTTCAAACTGAAATAATGGATGTGGTCCAGAGAAGAGACAACTGCATTGTAACTATCCAGAACTTCCAAGAATAGCTTAATCTGGATAAACGCACATTTACTTCTCAGATCTGCAACATTTCCAGCACATCACGATGATCACGAAAGGGACTATCAGGTTTCAAAGCCAATGCAAACTGCTAAGTTCCTCCACCAGTCTTGAGCTCAGCACGTCATGATCTCACTTGGAGGATCTCTCTCCATGTTCCCAAACAGAGCTGTGCGTGTGACGCTTTTGCCCAGATGATGAGTATAAGGTGGAAGGAAAGCCCGAGTGCCCGAGTGCCTGCGTGCCTGGTCTGCTCCTCCATGGCCACCACTCCTCAGTGGATGGCTGGGGAGGCCCCCCACAAGGCTGCTCCGACGCCTCACGAGTATTACTTAAGCAGAAACCAATCAAGTCCCAAATAACAGACTCAGTTAGCTTTGACATTAAGTCTCTATAGGATGTGATCCAGTTTGTTCAACATCTAAATGGGTTTCCAAAGTTCTCCTTTGCAACAGAATACCCTACATGAGAGCAACCTGTCCTTAATGCCTCTGGTTCACACAACTGCGGATGGCAGTGACAAATTGGTAATGGTGCTCCCAGGGCTTACAAAGTGACAAGGACATTTCCTGCTGTATTAGAGGAGCCTGGATTTCTTTGTAGCATGGTTTTGTATATTCATAGTTCCCAGAGTTAATCCAGGAAGGCACATATGAAATCTTTAATCTTATGCTAAAATTCTTGTGCTACGTGAACAAACTCCAGGGATGTCTTTCCACTGGACACTGGTCATCAGGTCAGCTATGAGGGGTAATCAGAAGTAGGCCACGTGAAGGAAAGGCTGCTGCCCACCCTCTGCTGCTGCTGCCAGACAAAGGCAAGAACATCCACAAGTACTACCAATCCAGAAACAGGATCCAGAGGAAGTCTGCTGTCGCCCCTGCCTGGGCAGGCAACTTGGATCCAGTGCAGAAAATGAGTCTGAGTTCACAACCTGCCTGTTGGCAGTTCATGTTCTAGTGCTGATCCACCCCACCAGAAGGAGCCCCACAAAAGCTCGGGGTGCTCTAGTCAGGGCCTGCTCACCTCTCTGTTTTGAAGGCTCCTCCTCCTCCGTTGGCTCGGATGGGTCGTAATAGTCACTGCCGTAAGTGAAACCCACGGCACTGTAGCTCCCATCCTCTGCCAGCGCCTCACTCAGCCGCTTGTATTCTTCCTCTTGAATAAAAACAAGAACTTTGTTAACAAAAATGGAAGCTTACTGAGAAAAATTTCATATATTTCTAAAGTTGTAGCTATCGATAAAGCAAACAACACATTTTTTCAACCTTCTTTTGAGGCAAAAGTGTTTCTAGAAACGCACACTTTATGTCTATCAATATATACTTTTGCCAGTAAGTGTTTACCCACAGAAAGCAGAATACACATCTTTTGTGGAAAATTTCTTCCTGCTGAGAAAATTTTGGGATTAAGAATTGTATTAAAGATTGTTAAGGCAAAGACAAGAACATCAATTTTAATTCATACGATACTGTTAAAGAAGAACAGTTAAAGAGTTTGGTTTTTGTTTTTTCAAATCCCAGTCTGCCCTCAAAAGCTGGGAAAATTCTTTGTGGCTCTATATATAAACTATCCTGAGGTCCTCTCAGAACGCAAAGACTCCTGTTTTTCCAATCCACTGGGTACTGTCAAGATAATATCAGAAAGAGTGAGTATAAAAAAAATGAATGGGAGTAAACTTTTAAATACTTAAAAATTTTTAAAGTTGTGGCTGAAATAAGTCTTTCTTGAGCAGTACCTTGCCTTGCCTCCTCCTCAAGCAAGTCCGTATGCAAGGCTAAATACCTCTCTTCATCACACAGCGCCTCTACCCGCGCCTCCTCTTCAGATAGCTGGTAGTCTCGGTTCCAAGTGGCATACTCGGCATCATACGCAGAGAGGTCATGCAGGTGACCACGCCCATCGTATCTGTAATGCGAATACGCTGGTCAGCACACAGAAGTCACCGCCTAGGCTGGTGGCGTGTGGCACTCGATGTGTGTACTTACCGATTAAAATAATAAAGTAAAAGTATTAAGGGAAATGCAAAACTGCTCAGACTTACACTTCATGTGGCTAGTCATCTCTCCTACTGATTAACTCAAGTTATCTTAAAAAAGTGTAACTCCACTGTATAGCACGATAAAACTCATAATTAAAGGCAGACAATCCTTTAAAGCGTAAATGGCATCTGCCTCACTAGCAGTTCTTACCGTGCATGGTTTGATTAACCATTCAATGCCACTAGTAAAAAAACAAAAAAACAAAAAACTTTTTTTCTGAAAAGTTAAATATCATAGCTTACATTCACACAAACCGAATACATAAATACCTATCCGTAAGAACCAAACGGTCGAAATTTCCTCGCTTCTTTCTGCTAGTCCCGAACTCTCAGGAGAGATCTTCATCAAAGAAACTTGCGTCCATGGAAGGTAAAATCTTGGCTAGGCTCTCGCCCCTAGCCACTTGGCTGAGGAAATAAGTGCTGGGTTACGTGGTAGAGAGACACACATACATAGGAACAGCGACATATACATGCAGTGTAGGGAGGTTCACTGGAACAGGCAAAAACCATTAGAAGACGCGTATCAGTACTTCTTTTTGAACTTGATACCCCAGGAAATAACACAGATGAGGACACACCCATGCTTCTCTGGCATGGACCAATAGGTCCCTCATCAACCCAAGGACAAGAAAAGCACTTTCTGTTATACTTTTAACATGAAAAGATTCAATGAAAATGCTGTCAACGTACAACTGTCAGAAAACGAGTGAGTCGGTTAATTTTACTTAAAATACTCAGATTTGGGGTCACAGAAGCAAATATTGAGCAACAAAAGTCTGCCTGATTTTTTAATGCTGACTTTTGTAATGGTGACCAAGTTAATGGGGGGGGGGGGATACCAGGGAACCCAAATTATTGCATTTTATTAAAATTTAAAATTAGATTTATTTTAATGTAAACCTCCTTAACTTACAAATGTAAATTATTATTTAAAAATATTACACATTTACATGTGTAGTGTTTGCTCCCCACCAGTCTTGAGAGACCTAAGTCAAATCATGTACAGAATGACATGGAAACTGCATGAAGAGCTGAGACACCAGCGCTCACCGAACTTTAATAATGCACATTACAAATCACACTTTGGAAAGCAAGCCTGAGAGCTCAGGCAACATCGTTCCATAGAAATGGCAGTTCAAAGGCACAGCACGTCTGAGCAGAGCGTGGAGCATCAGATCCAGAGCCGATCTGATCTGCAACCCTCCCTTCTCGGAGTCCTTGTTTCCTAGCTCTACCTCCAAATGGAAATGTCAGGGACGGAAAAAGGCCTATTTGGTCATTACTGTGTCCATTCTGGGCAGCTCAGAGGTCATCCCTACAGTCAGGTTCCAGGGCTTTGCAGAATCCAGTTCTAATCGTCTCAAACGACGGCTTCCTTCACTCGGAGAGACTATTCCACGGTTAGCCTTTCAGTCCGGGCCCCAGAAGTAGTGTTGCCCGAGCGGCAGGGACATCCCAGCACCCCGGGGAGAGGGAGGGAAGCGAGCGGGGAGCAAACACCCTACAGCACGTACGTCACCCTTTCCAACCACACACTCGGCCGCCAGCCGGCCCTCCGCCGCCCCGGGCGGTGACACTGGAAGAGAACCCGCAGCGGCCTAGCCCCAGGGACGCCGCTGCGGCAGGGTATCGGCCGCGCGGGGCCTCGCCCACCGCCCGGGAGGGTTCGCGACGCCCGGGTCCTGTTGGCCGGGGCGGCCGCAGGCTAACTCGCGGGGTCCGAGGGCGGCGTCGCGGAGAACAAAAGCGCGCTCCCGGCGGCCGCCGCACGGCGCCGAGCGGCGCCGACCCCGTGGCTCCACCGCGCTTCGTGGCCGGCGGCCGCCCGGGGCGCGCGGCGCGGCAGAGACGATCCCTTCGGCGACAGGCATGACGCCGGCTGCAGCCGGAGCCCTGGGGCGGGCGACGCAATCCCGCCCCCCGGACGCCGGGACCCCACGTCGGCGCCAGGCGGACCCGCGGTGGGGGAAGGGAGGGCGGCAGGGGCGGCGGGTTGGGGATGCGACCGACCTGTCGATCAGGAGCTTGTGGTCCCCCATCCAGGGGATGAGGTGCTGTCCCTGCTCCTGGGCCAGGGCCCGCTCGTCGTCCCGGAACAGCTTGCAGGCATAGCCGAACACCAGCAGCTCCACTCGGCTGCCCCCGCCGCCGGCGCCACCGGGCCCGGCCTCCTCCTTCGCGCCGCCTTTCCTCTCGGGCTTGGCGCGGCCCCCGCCCGCGCCGTACATGACAGCGTCCCCGGCGTCCGGGCCGGTCCTTTGCTGCTCCGCGCGACGTTCCCGATGGCTCGCCTGGCCTACCCCCTCAGTCAAAGGCGCCGCATCCCGTCCGCAACCTTAACACCGCCGCCATGGCGGGCCACAAAATGGAGGAAACTCGACTTCCGGCAGGAGGGCCGCACTTCCGGCGAGGGTAGTGGCAGATTCGCCAGGGCCAGGAGCCGTTTCAGCCGCTGGAAAATACGTAGGCCTTCCTTTTCGCTTTCCGACGCGTTGCCGCCGTCGGAGCGGCCGCGCTCAGGGGACCCACATTGTTTTCTTGTTCTCCGGAGGTGCTCGGCAACTTGACGAAAGCGCGGCGGGGCACCGCGCGCCCGCTTCGGCTGAGGCCGGTGGGGCCGCGATGGCGTCTGGGCGGGGGCCCTCCCCAGATGCCGCGCGTGACCGCGGTTCCGCCTTGTTTGGGGTCGCTTAGGGGTCTGGGTCCCAGGCCCCAGCCTCGGAAAGTGCCCGAGGTTCGTGAGTGCCCCAGACCCCGGGGCCGCGTGCTGGGCGGCGCATCTCCGTCTGGCCCGCGGCCTCCCCACGTGGGGCTCTGGCCCAGCGCTTTTGGGTCGGAGGGTCAGGAGCTGGAGGGCCACGGGTCCTGCGGGCAGACAGCCCGTTTACGCCGGGTGTGCCTGGAGCCCCCCACGGGGGCCGAGGACGTCTTCCTGTCAGGAACATGGCAGCGAGGCCGGGCCCTCGCCGGGGTGGGCCGGCCCTGCGATTTCCCCTCGGCTCACGTCGGTGGTGCTTGGAGGTAGCACCCTGGGGAGTGCAAGGGTACCGTTGCCGCCCGCGCTCGGGGGCTGCTCGGCCTGCCGGCCCCTCCCTGGTGCGAGGCCTTGCCAGGTGCGGCCCTGGGCCTGGAGAGCGCCACCCACGCTCCGCTGGGCAGCAACTGAAAACGTGCCGACCCGCAGTACCCGTTTCTTGAAAATTGAGCAATGAGCAGCTCGCACCAGAAGCACTTGGCGCTTCCGGTTCCCCCGACCGGGCCACACCTTTGTGTTTTATTTGATAGGCTCCTCATCACTAGTCTAACCCAAGCACTCCTTCTTCAGCGTGGCTTCCTCTGCCCCTAACGGGGTGTCTGTTCCCCTAACAAGGTGTCCGGGCACTCCTGCTGGCCCGTTTTTGTAAAACTCACACCACTTCCTATATGTTCAGCATCCACTAGAATTGGCTTCGGACAGCAGGGACTTCGCTGGCCCACCTTGTCCGAGGTGCCTAGAACAGTGCCTGGCACCTAGTGGGCCACATGCTGGTCAGCACAGGACGAATGAAGAGCTGCTGCGGTGGCCAGGCCATCATTTTCCTGTCTGACTGCAGCTGGCCCTGCTGCCCCAGGAGGACGGGACCATGTCTTGGTTACTTGGTCAGTCCTATGTTGGTGGCTTCTAGGCATGTACCTGTTGTTGGGGTGCTGGACCCCTTCAGCTTCCCCTCAAATTCAGAGAGCTGTGTGTTAAAGGAAGGAGATCATTAGCTTGTCTATAACTGGAGCTCCAATTTAAGCAAATCAAAACCCAATTCAATGTAAACAATAAAACAAAAGTCGTGGAGTCAGAGAGTGCCAGCCAGCTCCCCACTGGGGACTTCTTACTGGATGGCACCCAAATATGGCCCACGCCTAGCTATTGCCAGGGCTTTGTCTGATTTTTTTGATTCCTGGGCTTTGTCTGCGTGGCCTTTAGAATCTTACCTCATGCTGCAGAAATGAGCTCCTCAGAGCTCTTCCAGTTCCACATGCTGCTGCATTCGTGAATTGTTTTTTACTCACATAAATTCTGATAAACTTTGATTTCTTTTTTTTTTAAACAGTTCTAGTGTCAGAAGTGGGATGTGAGGCTGTCCCCAACCCTCACCATGCACAGCCCCTGGGAGAAATGAGTAAATAGGCCTTGGTGTTTCATTGCATGACTGTTCTCTGGGTGGCCTTGGACTGACCCATTTCTTGACCCTTTCTTGCTTATAATGCTCAAGATTAACTGCAGAACTCCCTGGGAATGTAATATCTTGAGGTAGGGAGGGATTCACTGTTCCGTCCTCCCTTAGAAGTGGGCTGTCCTTCAGTGCTTGAGCTCCCTGACTGGTGTGACCCTGAGATGGGCAGCAGGCTGCCTTTGGGACCCTCATCTGTGTTCAATTGAAATTTCTTCTGCCTCAGGCAGGTTTTTTTTTTTTTTTTTTTTTTTTTTTTTAAAGACCAGGCATTGAACCTAGGGGAACTTAACACCTGAGCCACGTCCCTGACCCTTTTTTATGTTTAAAGCCAGGATCTCGCTAAATTGCTTAGGGCCTCAGTAAATTGCTGAGGATGGCTTTGAACTCAAGATCCTCTTGCCAGGCAGCTTTCTGAGCTTTGGGGACTGGCCCACAATGGATCCTAGGCTGCTTTTGTCCAGGGCTGCCTGTCTATTGGTAATAAACCACTTTATGTAACTCATTACATGAGTGTTTCTGTCTCTGGATTCACACACATTTGTGATTGGTGCATAGTAAACCTACTTCATTTGCTGAGCTGTGGTCACTGTTTCTTCCTAAGCATTTGGAACTTGCCATTGGCTGGAACAAGTTCTATAACTTGTGGTGAGTTTTCGGATTTTTATTTGAGCAGTTTTTATCTGAACTGGGAATGCAAATCTCAACAAAAGCAATGCTGTATTGTACTGCTGCTATGGGAGCTAGGCTGGGTCCCGTGGGAACCCTCTTGTAGGGATGGTGACAGAGGACAGCGGTGCTGGGTTCATCTAGAGCCAGGGAACCTGGAACCCATGCCTCTGGGGCTCTAGTCAGTACGTGTGTAGGTTTCCGAACCCAGTGAACCTGCAGGTCACTTGCTTTCAGTCGCCTGCCCTGTCACCAACTCCAGAGGCCACTTAGCTGTAGCACTCTCCCAATAGCTTTGCTGTGGATGACGCTCTGGCGTATGTATGGATCATGATGGTAAAGTTTGCCTGAGATGCTTTTCAGCAACTTGATGGTACAAACCTGTTGCACCCACCCATCCTTCACTTGGGCCTGTGCTTGAATCTCATGCATGACCTTTTGGTGTCATAGGGACTGAACTCCATCCTCAGAGCTTGCATACGCTGCCATTTGCTGAGCCACTTGCTGAGCGTGGGTCCTATGAAGCTTGATTATTACGCCCAGGCTGCCAATCACCTTTCCCCATGCCTTAGGCCCCCAGGTTTCTTTGTCCCTTAGGTATCCCTAAGCCTTTCCCTGCAAACACAACCTGAGGCTTGATCTTCTGTGTCCACATCATTGGCTACCTCATGAATAAACTCCTAGTGGCAGAACAGGTAGGCCAGAGAAAGATGATCGCAGCATTCCTGACAGGCCTGTCACTTGATATTATAAACGTGGCAAGCCAGTCTGGCCTCTTCATGCTGAGTCCTGGTAGGAGAGCCTTAATGGGCAGCACCCCAACTCCATAGCCTAGTTAGAAAGAACAAGCTGGGTTGGAAAGCTGCCCATCTAGCTGGGCTGGTCTCCAGGACTTGCGTCTTTGGCGTAAGGACAATTTTCAGTCAGTCATTTTGCTAAATTATGATACTCAGTAAGTATGTGTCCTGAGTACATTTCAACTTATAGAGTTTTCAACTTAGGATGGGTTTATTTGGAATCCCATCATAGGTTGAGAAACATCTGTACTCCTTAAATTCTTAGAAAAATGGGAGTTAATCCAAAATGTATTTCAAGATCTCATGATCTCGAATAATCTTCAGTAAATAAAAGCTAGATTTGTTGGCTTAATGAAAACAGGTATTGGGCTGGGGATGTGGCTCAGGCAGTAGTGCGCTGGCCTGGCATGCGTGCGGCCCGGTTCGATCCTCAGCGCCACATGCGAACAAAGATATTGTGTCCGCTGAAAACTAAAAAATAAATATTAAAAAATTCTCTCTCTCTCTCTCTCCCTCACTCTCTCTTTAAAAGAAAAGAAAAGAAAAGAAAACAGGTATTACTTCAGAGTGTCGGCATTAAATATAACCGCAGATACACGGTTTTATTGACATGCTGTGAACACATCCGACAGAAAGCTTGATTATGGCTATCTTTGTTTGCTTGTTTGGTAAATTGAACCCTAAGAGTTTTGCTTCATTAAATTGATTGACGGGTAGTCATTGGGTATCTAGGTCTTGTCTATATCCAATACTAAAGCTTTAATTGTTGAACACGAGTTACCCACTTTTGGTTTCCGGTTCTGGATCTGTCAGCAAACATATCTTGGGCCACATTGAAAATTCAACTGCAAGGAAACACAGGCTTCTAAAAATTAGCTACTAAGCGTTGAGAATTCTAGTTAGTATATGGTGATGAGAGCTCTCTAGTGTTCTCTGCTTGAACCTGACTCCACTTTCACTCCTAATAAAATTCTCTTTCTTGACTTTTCACATTGGTCTGAATTTTCTTTCACTGGGACACAAGAAATGAGATTTGGAGCTTCAACCCCCACTTTCCTGTGACAAGATCATACCAACCAACCTGTTAGGAGTTTCTAGAACTCTAGGGAAGAAACAGTTGGTCCCCTAAACTCTGACCCCCATACTACTACAGAACAAGAGATAGTTAAAAGCAGCTGAATACACTGAATAGTTATTGTTTCTTTATGGCTTTGTTGTAAGAAACATTGCTTTTCCTTTAATGTTTCCCATATTTAAGTAACATTTTTTATTTCCTCCTAAATTATCTGTAGCTCATGACAGTTGGGTTAGGTATATGTTTGTGAACGGAGATGAAACAATTTCCCTCCCTATTGGATTCCTACAGAATCTGGAAATGGTTAGTATTTTTATTTTCCGGCAACATAGTTGCCGCAGTCCCGCTGCAGCAAAATAACCGGGGTGGGGGGGTGGGGGGTGGTGGTGATGAGGAACTTGTGTACATTGATATAGCAGGAGTGGGAGCTGTTTATTGTAGGACAGGAGGGGTATACATTCCACACAGCTTATCTTAATTAACATAAACTAGATACAGCAGTCAACCAATAAGGAATCTCCACACTTAATGGCTTGCTGGTGTCACTTCACAAACCACTCCCTCTGGCAAAATGCCAGGCGCCATCTTGTCTTGTTTACAGATCCTAACAATAGTCATTTGAATAAGTTGAGCAAGAGTCTTTCCTCCTTGTGACAGGACACGGTGGAGACACACCTGACTTCACCAAGGGCCTGACTGGACTGTCACTTCGGAAGATGTGCATAGCGTCAAGTATGACTAGAAAACTCAGAAACTACTCAGAAAACCTGCCTAGCATCCAGGTCTCAGGGGTCCATGGCCTTACAAAAGGAAGCCAAGCAGCTTAAAAGCATTGTGAGGACCTTAAAGAGGAGTTTGCCCAGGTCCATGGGCCTCACAGGTGACGTCTGCCAGCAGGTTCTTGGCCTGACATCCTAACAGAGAGGCAATGAAGTCCAATCAGATGGCTTATTAAACGCTCGGTAGGGCGGAGATGTGGCCCAGAGTGTGTGCTGAGGAGGCCCTGGGTTTGATCCCAGCCCCACACACATACCCCAGAACTGAAAAGAGCCTACGTGACCCTTGACCTGTTGCCATACTTGTGTAAGTAATGAGGCCGGGTTTAATGAGGTATAGCCTTCTCGGTGAAGCAGCTGGCTATCCTGATTGTCTTAGGTGGACATGGGGACAACTGTTGAGATTAAAATTATGTTTCAGAAGGAAACTAAGGAGCACCCATGACCAGAGCCTCATCTGTTCATTGTCCTTGAGATCCTGCCTTCTATAAACTGCTCTGTTCCCAAGACTTCACATGGGGTACTAAAATTTCAGAGGACAACCCTTATGCCTGCCAAGCTGTGGGCCACTCAGGGAGCTCATGAGATGCCCGGCATGTAACCTGGAC